CAGAGAAACCCTGTCTCGAAAAAACAAAAAAAAACCAAAAAAAGTATTGGTATCATTATTGGGTAGTTGATGGTCCAAAGAAAGTCCAGCTACAACCAGGGGTCCAGGATCAACGCAGCCAAAGAAGATAGATGGAACCCCTGAAACCAGGAGTGAAGTAGACAATTCTTCCTGTAAGCTGTTTAGTCTGATACTTTGGTGACACATACACAGACATAACCAAGCAGGTGCACACATCACTCCCTGCTGGGTTTTCTGTGTTCTCTTCCTTCTGCTACAATGTTAATTTCTCCCAGGAAAATCCAGGGCTCCACCTCTCTGTGGCCTTCGGGCAGATCCCTTCCACCCAGGCTTTTGAAAATTTGAGTCAAGTGCATGAGTCTTGCTCTTTTCTTGAACTCACAAAACTGCTACAGTGCCCTGACCCCTGGTCCCCAGCAAGAAATGACCAGATCCTTCATTCCCCGCCACACTGCTGCTTTTCCTTACCATCATTCAGACTGCCCCAGGCAACACACAACACACACACACACACACACACACACACACACACACGCCTGACCACGCACAGCTCCCAATCTTAGACCACTGTTGGCTGGTGAGAAAGACTCCTGTGACATTCACACTTTGTTCTGGCCTGGATCCCTTGTTTCCGAGGGTTAGGGGTATCCCCACCCAGTGCCTTAGCCCTCCGCTTAGCCTTGGTTAATAAGAACATTATTGTCCCTGGGGACATGATCCTGGGTAATGACCTTAGCAGACAACTTTAAAATGACTCCCCATAAGGCCATCAAGATGGTGTGTGTGCCACCAAGGCAATTCCCAAGACCCATATGGTGGAAGAACAACCTACTCTCTCAATTGTCCTTTGACCTCCAAATGTGCAACACACACAATCAATCAATCAATCAATGACTAAATAAATGTTTAAAAACTTTTAAATGTCTGCCAGCAATCCTTTCCAGGATTGATTATGCAAAGGCTAACACATGCTACTGGCCCCATAAAACTCACACACTCCCCTAGAAGCCATTGTATCTTTCACAGAGTAAACACACAGAGAAAAGATGGAGGATCATTTGTGATATGGGTAAATACTTTTCAGTGAACTACTATCCTACTATTTTTTTTCTAGAGGCAGGTGTTGATTGATAGGCCACCTATCATGATGGTGGCAAGTGCTAAGAAAGGTAATAACCATGCCCTGCCTCTGGTAACATCATCACAGGGTATGAGTTCTAAATCCCGGCTTGGTCACGAGCATCTTCATGAACCCCGGCCTAGTTCCGCACCTCAGTTTCCATTCTGGGAGATGGCGCTGCCCTACATATTGTTTCCAGGATTTCAAATGACACCTCATACCCACGGCCCAGTAAGTGATACATTTGGGGTTCTGTTTTGTTTCGTTTTGTGTTTGTTTGTTTGTTTTGTTTTTTGAGTGCTTAGTGGTTTTCACAGTCTACACTTTCAAGAGACCCTGGGACATGAGAAAAAGAAACAAACATAGAAAGGATCCTGTAGGCCTGAGGGTAGACTTCTGAGGGTGAAGATCTAGAGCATGGCCAGGCAAAGGAGCCCATGGCCAGGCCTCCACGCATGGAGAAGATGTGCTGCAGACTGAGCTGTAAAAGCTGCCCAAACATGAGACAAGTGCATTCCAGATGGAGTGAGGGCAGCATTCTCCGCGAGCCTGGACCACCAACGGGAGACGCAGCTGCAGGAGAAACGGGCGGGCGGAGCATCTAAGCCGTTTGGGCTGATGTCATTGAGTACACTTCCTCTCTGACCAACAAGCTTTAAAATGTATTTTATTTGATTTTACAGATGTCTTGCCTGCGTGTGTGTCTGTGTACTACATGTGTGCCTGATGTCCAAGAAGGCTGGAAGAGGACATTCGAGTCCCTGGGACTGGAGTTACAGATGGTTGTGCACCACCATGTGAGTGCTGAGAATCCAACCTGGTCCTCTAGAAGAGCAGACAGTGGTGCTTTTAACCTCTGAGCCATCTCCCCAGCCTTGGCTAAGGTGTTTAACGTGTTTTAAAAAACACATTTTCTAATTTTAATTGACAAATAACAACTGTGCATATTTACAGGGTACTATGTGACGTTTTGATACATACATTATAACCATAACCTCTATTTTAACTGTCACAACAGCATAGAGTCAATAGAAAATCGGGAAGTATAGATGGACGGAGACTAGAAAGCAGACACCCCTCTTCCCCCTGCTCCATTCCCTCAAGTTAGCTGGTTAATGCTCAAGTTTCTTAATGTTTCACTGAGCGGTGTTTGGGGTAAGCTAGTGTCGTGACCCAATACCATCACTTTGGGTATCAGGTAGCGGGTGACTAAAGGCAGGCAACCTCCCCGGGTGACAAGGGTGAATTATTCAGAGGACGAAAGTCTGAAATGAGACCTGCTGGGGACCCTAGGCCTTTCCTCTTCAGTTCCGATGATGGCTGTGGGAATTAGAGTGTACGGGCTGGAGGGTGGGACGGAGTGCTGTGCCTTCTGGACACGACGTGATGACTGCCCCACTCACCAATTCACAGTGGTTGTGGGTACTTGCACAGGATCTACCCAGTCAAAATCCCAACACAGAGGGGGAGGGACGCATGAAGCCAAGTCCTTATTGACAGGAGACCAGCAGTTGTTGGCTGCTGAAGGGAGGGGGAGTTGCTTTTCTTTGGGGGTGTAGCCACCGGCAGATTCCCTACGGTCTACTGGTGACTCCACGCCCATACACCTACCGGAAACACTAGCTGTACTCAGTTATGAAAACATCAATTATTTCTTTTTGAAGGAAGAAGCTGTGAAATTGAGATGAGGACATATGGAGTGAAGGGAAAGACAGAGAGGGAGATGGGAGGGAGATATAGTCAAGAAACATTGCACACATGTATGCAATATTGTACTAAAATGATGATATGAGTTAAGCTTACATGACATCAGATACAAAAAAGAAGTACACGTTTATGAGAGGGTTTGACGAACATAATTTTTAGTATGGGCAGGATTTCGAGAGTCTAGAGCTGAGGAGAGAGATGTTGCTTAGAGAAGCAGATGTGGAGAGAAGTGAGGAGGGCTAAGACAGCTTCCTGGAATGATGGAGGGGCATCCTGGGGGTGGGATACGGCTGGGTAAGACCAGCCAGGCACAGAGAACACGCAGAAGGGAAAAATGTCTTAGACACTGTGCTCATGGCAGGGAACTTTACTTAAGGAAATAGGCTGTGCTGCCCCGAATGAGTTCCACGTGCCATTTGTATGTATTATTTGTGCATATTACTACACAAAACAGTAAGGTAACACAACACAATGCCAACCTAGTTATTTCAGACTGGTAGGGTTATGGATGATTGCTATTCTCTCCTTTTCCTGGAAAACAGTGGGATAATGGAGGAAGAAAGTGTACTATTTCAAGCAGAAACATTGGAAGGCAGACAAAACACTGATTCAGCATACTCAAGAACTTAAATTCATAAGAGAGACACCAGCTTCATGAGGATGTGGCATAAGATATTAATATAGCCACTACTATTACTGCTCGTATTTGAAAAAGACATCACATATAACATGGTATGGAACTCCCCCTGACCCCAGCCCCCCGGATCCAGCAGTGCCAGCTCAGAATGCAATGGCAGCATGCTCTCCAAATGCAAACCATGGATTCGGTGATTTGGGCCAAATCCTTTCGCCACCAGCTCTGGTATTCAACAAATGGTTTTGTTTAATCCAACTCCGTTTTTACGCACTGTACTACATAGAAAATTATACTAAGTAAATGTAGCGAAGAAAAGGGAACTGTAATTCTAGGAAGATGGCCTTCAACAGCCCAGGGATTCTTAGTTGGGGGTTGGGTACAGCTGGTCTGGCGACTGTGGATATGAACAAGATGCTGCCGGACTGGTTAAAGAGTCACAGGCATTGCTTAGCTAAGTTCTCCCCAGACCTGAACTCGGAGATAAGAACCCCTGTGCTGGTCGTTTACTTAGTAAAAGTAATACATAAAAGAAGGGAGGAAAGGCAAGAGGTAGGTGACTGAAATGCCACGGAGCCTGCTCTCCCTCGGGACAAGAGTGGCTCCTGTAGAGACCCGTGCAGCCAATACCAAACCCAGCTCAGAATCGGCGGACACAGAGGACCAGGGAGCAAGGGATTTACCAGCCAACTGCTGCCAGCCATAGCTGGAGGCTCATCTCTGGAGCATTCACTACTCAGCACTCCTGGGCTCCCTTGCATTAGAAAGGCCGGCCTCGGATGCCAGAGTCAGCAGCCACTCACAGACTTAACGAAGACGGAGACTTGTGGGCCAGGGCTGCAAAGCAGGCGTAACACTAGGGCTGAACTGAGCCTAAAAGACATGAGGAAATGGCTTTCTCATCATTCAAGTCAAAGGAATTTATTGCTGGGTCTGTAAACCTCTCAAAAGCATCTTCTGTCCTACCAAGCTAAGGATCCCTGACCCCAGACCCGTGCGGACGCCGGGAGGCCGGAAGCCGCTCAGCAGAAGCAGCGTGCTGGCGGTCCTGGCTTACTTCATCCGCACCAGTCTCCTGAACGACAGACCTTTTATGACATCGGTAAGGAATAGACCCATCGAGCTAGCGTGGTGGCACGTGTCTGGGATCCCAGCACTGGAAGGCTAAAGCAAGGGGATTTTGCTTGGAAAGTTTGAAGACAGCTGTGGGCTACATAGCACGTTCTAGGCCAGGCGGCAGGCTTAGGAGACTCATGATAAATGCTTACTCAAGAGTGTTTTTCTTCTTCTTCTTCTTCTTCTTCTTCTTCTTCTTCTTCTTCTTCTTCTTCTTCTTCTTCTTCTTCTTCTTCTTCTTCTTCTT